AGACTAATGAAGTTCAACTGCGGCTGTTTTGTTTTTTTGTTGGGTTTCTACATGTTGTAGGGCAGCTGGGTATATTGCTTTGACACCTTCAATGTGCCCCAGGATAACACACGGACCTACAGTAATGCTATGGTATGGGGTGTTAGTGACAGACACTGGGACCGTCTACCTATCAGTTTCACTAATTTTTGTCCTGGCTTATCTGTCCTGGCTTATCTATGTGTTGCCAACTGTTTTTGACTGAAAGTAGCCGAAGTTCCCCCCAAAAGACACTAGATGTCACCAAATGATGTCACCTGCTAATTTGCATATGACGCAATGACGTCATCTTGTTTGCGTGATGACGTCACCACGGTTGCGTCATGACGTCACCGGTCTTGTAGAGTAACTAAAATAAAACCTATGTAATTTAAAAAATATTTATATTTAATTTATTTTTTAATATTTTATTCAAATAAAAACCCCATAGAATACAAAACAGCAGCCTTTAAAACATCAAGGAAAGATGGCACAAAAAATGGAAAGAATATTTATATTTTGTCTGAAGAGAATGGAACTCAAACACAAAAATATTAAATTGATAGGAATGTATGTATGATTGAATTAAAATGAATTTTCTGTTGTAGTTTTCAAGTACCTTGAGATGTATTCTTCTGTTGTGATTCAGTGCTATATATTGACCTAAAAGATATATATATATATATATATATATATATATATATATATATATATATATATATATATTGTTTTTGTTTGGTTTAGTTGTTTTTAGTACTTTTGTGTAAAAAGAAGCAGGTCGTATTTAGTATTCAGATACGTTACATGCAAACTGCCAATGACTTACAGCAGTGGTTCCCAAACTTATTTAGCCGCGCACCCCCTTCTATGTCCCGATCATGTTGACGCACCCCCCAGCCCCACATCAGGGCATGGCTATATATATATATATACATATACATACATATATATATATATATATATATATGTATGTATATGTATATACATACATATATATATATATATATATGTATGTATATACATATATATATATATATATATGTATATACATACATATATGTAATCAGACGTCACTCTAAACCAGGGGTCAGCAACCTGTTTCCATCAAAGAGCCATTATTACCCGTTTCCCACAGTAAAGAAAACACCACAGCAGCCGCGGCGTTGTGGGCGGGGCCTACCCTCAGAGCAGAGCGCTGCTCACATCAGGTGACAGCAGCCAGTACCGGTCGCTCGTGTACGTCAAAGCTATCTTTCATAAGAAGATAATCAATAAAACAATTTATATAAAGTGGATCCAGAAGTTGTAGCCCGTCTCTGCCGACAATATTTAGATATTTTTCACCCTGTTGGTGGTTTTACTGAGCAGGTGCCACTTTTGTCATACGTTTCTTTTTAAAACATGTTTAGACTGTTCAGAATACAAATCCAGGCTCTGTCACGTTTGATTGTTGTAATTAAACTTTGTAGGTGGGGAAGGTCAGAAAAGGATCCGATCATTTTGTTTTCCCTCATTTACAGCGACGGAGACAACGGCGCAGTGCGCCTGGCTCTGGTGTTAATCAAGTTAAATTTTATCTATTTTCACAAGAAAACAGAACAGTTAAAAGCAGGGCTTGTGTTGACGGGACAGTTCCCGTATTTGACCGTTTATTTTGACGGAGAAAGAATAGAAAGAATTACCCCGACATGCAGACGAACTGACATTTTATTCTACGCACATCGCAGATGTAGCTAAATCACTCAAGAAAAGATTCCCATCTGAACATCTGAGCTGGACACCGCTCAGCGCAGCTCACTCTCAGCGCGTACACAAGGTGCACAGCGAGCTGACGATGTGGAGAGGGGCTTGGAGCACGTCGCAGAACCAGAGCGCATGCGGGAAGATTCCTTCCACTGAAGCGAGAGTTTTCCAAACCCGGTCTCTCAGAGAGACTTGTCACTTAGAAAATGTTCCCTGATGATGAAACTTTGGCTGAATTGTGCTTGTTCCTGTCTCCAATGTGGCGTCTGAGGAGAGTCCCAGAATCTCACATCCTCGTCAGCTCATAAAGCGCCTATGATTACGCACAAGCGTGACGCGTCAACCCAGTCACACACTAGACCGGGTTGGACCTGTTCAGGTTTACGCAGACAATCTTTACATTTAGAATTAGCTTACAGATGTAAAATTTATGCAGTAAAATATAAAGCATTTTATTTAAGTATCCATTCAGATGGATGGAAGAGCCACATGCGGCTCCAGAGCCGCGGATTGCGGACCCCTGAGCTAGGGCATGTGCGGAGGACACACACACACACACACACACACACAAGCAAAATATACTTGTTTTCAATTACGTTTATTGGGCCCACTTACATTTTCTTAGGCCCACCCACAAATGAGTTTCTGGCTACGCTAATGGTGACTTTTGACAGACTTCTCTGAGCTCCGCAGCCATTACACTTTTCACCTTGCGCACCCCCTAGCGGCAGCTTGCGCACCCCTGGGGGTGCGCGCACCACACTTTGGGAATCCCTGACTTACAGTATTATTCTGTTTTCTATAAAAGTTTTAAATGTGCTACGTTACTGAACTCATCATAGAGTTCCAATGTTCCTTGAATGCACCACAAGTGGTGCAAGAAGCCATGTGTGAGTGCAACGCTGGTGCCAGCCGAGCTCAGTTGCCGAAATACGGCAGGATGGCGGAAGGAGCGGTCGCCCTTTATGTAGCTCCGGTGGCTATCTCAAATAATGGACTTGTGAAAACCCACAAAAGGTTTGATTTGCCAACGGGGGTAGCGTGATCATGCTGCAAGCACATGCGCAGATCATTTTCTTTCTGATCCTCTGGAAGGAAGGACGGTCCTGTCGCTTCAGATGCCTCACTAATCTGCAGGTAAAGTTGGCAACAAAGTTGTAGTCAAAGTAGCTGAGGGGGGTCGGAATTGTCGCCAGATTTGTCGCTAGGCGCTTTTTTGAAAAAAGCTCGTTAAGGGGATCTGAAAAGTAGTTAGAAATGGTGACAAAGCCGCTAAGTTGGCAATACTGCCTCTCGTCCTCCGGGTGTCTGCAGCATCAGATGTCCTCTTGGTGGTCTGCTGCTTGCTGGCGCTCAGGGAAGCGAGAACCATTTGCTTCACCTCTGCAACCTCGTTCCTCAGCTCTTTAACCAGGTCGTGCATTTCAGGTGGAGGATGATTCTTCTTGCCTTCCTTGGCGACCGGGATCTGTGGGCTGCTGTGTGGTTCATCTTCAGTATGCAGCTCGTTGATTTTTGATGGTTTTGCATTGTTCCTTTTTAACTTGTTTAGTCTTTGTCTCAATATTGGTAGCTTCATTTAGTTTTTCAAACAGCATCTCATCAGTCGCATCTGGCTTGTCTAGAAGTGCTTCAATCTGGAACTTTATGTTGTCATTTTGCAGTCCAGAACCAGCTGATCTCAAAAACTTTCTTTTTACCAGGTCCCAACTGTAATGTTCTGCTTCTTTGCCCTTGGATGCATACAGCAGGCGATCTTTAAGCTCAATGGCCCTGAATAAAAAGTCTTGAGCTGACTCTTTTGGATCCTGGGAAATATTGACCAGTTTTTGGTCCAAATCAGATGTGTCATCTTCTCTGTAATGTCCTTTCAGTATTGTCTTTAACTGTGTGAGTGTCAAATCAGTCTTTATTTCAAGCATGTCACGCAGTTTGAGACCAGGGCTGATGGCTCTTATCACTGCTTCATTAACTTCTGACTCACTGTGGCCTTTGCGGAGTCCATTCTCCATCTGATGCAGCAGGTTGGTATAAGACAGATGATCTCGCTGCCCTCCCTCTCCTATTTGGCCACAGATGTGAAACTCCCTGCGAATAGTGACCTCCGGTATTTTAGATGACAGCGGGTTCTGGCCGAGGCTAGGTGCGGTGTCCACCACCTTGAGTTTCCCCCCTATTACTTTGATTTCTTCCTGCAGCTCTTCATACTTGTCTATTGTGTCTGAAGGGCGGGAAAAAATGCGCTCGGCCGCGTTGTCTTTAGCTTTACATTCACCCAAAAACGATAAAAGATCTTTAACAAAGCTGGTGTGTAACTGCTTTCCACTTTGTCAAGTTTGTGTTCTATAACTTTCTTCAGATGGCGTCTGGTACTGTCTTTTGTGGGCTCATCCAGCTGTGAAGCAAAGCCTTTCACATTATAGCCCACTTCTATAATCTGATCACGATTTAGCTGGCAGAGTGTGGTTGTAATCTTATCTCGTCGAGTTTCTACTTCCATTGTGGGTACTCACAAGATTGTCTTTAGTCCGTTAAGTTTTTGGTTTGATGCTTGGAGCAAGGTGTTTCTTCAGCGGTGCGGTAGTGCTAACGTTAGCCGCTAATGCCGCTAACCGTGCCTCTGCTAAACTCACACACTGGAAATCCTTTTTTCCTCACTCCTGGCTGGGCTGGCTCGCCATAATATGTTGCAGCTTTGAGGCAAGGATGACTACCGGAGTTGCTTTCTCACTTCATCTGTTTTCTTTCAACGTCAAATCACTGAAAACATACAGCAGCTCCTCTCCTGCTCCTCGCCTTGTGCTGCTAACTGACTCCAGAGACGTTCAAGGAACGTCCGTCAAAGCAAACACATCAACGGGGTGTTCAGTGCCATCTTGTGATTATGACTACTCTTGCAAATTAACAGTTCAAATGAAAAATAGACAGAATATACAAACATCATGAAGAAGTGTGGGGTGTCTTTGAACCATTGCACAATTCATAACAGTTTATCCTTTTTGACATAACCCAACCCCATCCATATTTGTGTCTCTCACAGTACTGTAGAGAGTAATTATTGTATGTATTTGGATGCTTTTAAAGCTTAACACACTACTCTACACTTTGACCAATGTGATTGAATTCCCATATAAATATGGAAATCCAGTCTGATTGGTCTTGAATGTTTAACCAGAAGATTTAGAATTATTTGTTTATTCAGGGATTGTAGGACACTTTGTATTAATTCAAGAGGAGAGTCAGGTTTATAAAAGTAAGAATTTATTTTCCAAACAATTAAAAACACGACAAGTTAACTAAGATTACTGTGGATGGATGGATCTAGGTGGATGGGATGGGATGTATGGTGACTGTGTGAATGTGAGGTTATCAGAACTTTCGTATCTAGAAGAGCGGAGTTCTGGGTGCAAAAAGGAAGAATTTGGCTTGCATCAACTAGGAAGTTGATTCTTATCAAAGCCACATCAGACGCGATTCATGCTGTGTCTACCTCACCCTTTGGAAGACCCTCTTCGCGGATCCGAAGGTCAGGGAGGTCGGATGAACTCTGGGCACCGAGGTTTGTAGAATAACCGCAGCACCGACTCTCCAGTCCAGAGATGTTTCCGGGTCACAACAGATGGATGGAATCGTTTGTGTCTAGAAGGACTCTTAGGGAGTCGGAACAGCATCAGCTTGTTCTGCAGGAACCGTGTGCTGTGTCAGCAGTAGGCAGCTTTTAGCAAGGCTTTGACAGCTTGTCAAAAATCCTCTGGGTTAAAGAGGTTTCGCACCGGATGGCCGTTCCTTAGCTTTCTCTTGAACTAACTCACCGTGAAGTGAGCTCTGTTTTAATATTCTCATATTATGAATTCTTGTCCAATCGGAATGTGCCGTGTTAAGGGATATTACCAAGAACCTCAGAACATCACGCCTTCTTTCAGATACCGGATGCTCTGATTTGGGGTAAAGAAATATTTATGTGTCATGAGTAGGGATGGGTACCGAATTCGGTACTTTTTAAGGTACCGACCGAATTCCATAGTACCGACCGAGCACCGATTCACGTCTTTTCAAACGGTGCCTTGTTTCGGTACCCATCCTTCATAACGAGAGCTTGCCAAGACAGCTGCGCATGTGCAAGAGCGTTATGTCGTCGGTCCCTGCGAGCAAGTTGTAAACAGAGCAGCATGGTAGAAAGAACGCACGCTAACGCTTGGGTCCACTTCACTAAATGTGATGGGTAACTGGGTGATGAAACCAATGACAGACAACGATCTAAGTGAGACATCCTCATCTTAATCTACTCCGGTAGGTAAATAAAATGTTTAAGATAACGTTACCTTGATATGTTAGCTTCCGTTTCGCTAATGGTGCGTTCGCTTTCTCCTCGGAACTCCGAATTTCCGACTAGAAGAACATGAACGCGCTCTAAAGTTTGGCTTCACTTTACTAAATGCGACGGGTGATTGGGTGAAGACGAAACCAGCGACGATCTAAGTGTGCTGCATCATCGTTTTAATCTGCTCCAGCAGTTAAATAAACTGTTTAAGATAACGTTAGCTTGATAAGTTAGCTTCCATTGCCACCGTTGTTATCAGCTAATGGTGCGTTCGCTTTCCCCTCGGAAATTCTATCTTCCCAGTAGAAAAAATCAAATGAAAAAGGACGGCAAAAGGAATGAAGATACAAAGTAAATTTAGTTCACAGTAAAGATGTTTGCTTCAGTTTAATTATCAGCTTATAAAACTACAAGGACGATGTTAAAATACAAACAGTTGTATGTTATTTATCATGATATTTGTCAAATATTGTTATATATTGAGAAAAATATATATTTAATTATAAAAGAGAATTAAAATATTAAACACTCAAAAGTAACGAAAATTGGTACCGTTAAGTACCGGTATCGATTCGTAGGTACCGGGAATTAGTACCGGATCGATTCAAATGTCAAAGGTACCCATCCCTAGTCATGAGTTTAACTTAACTTTAATTTATCTCTAATGAACCTTGTGAGTGTAGGTGATGATTGCCTTGTCATATCAAACATTACTGATTACCATATATATAAATCATTCAATGTGATAATTCATTTCATTTCAAACTATCAGTAGTTCAAGCACAGATTAATCAAAACATTATTATTATTATTATTATTTCACGAATGATTAACTCATTTGAGCTGAAAACAGTCACTCTTAGAACAGTCCAGTCCGGCCTAGATAGGCAGACAGGCTTCCAGTGGCGGCTGGTGAAAAATATTTTTGGTGGGGCTGTGCTATTTTTTTATTTTTAAACAAACTTGTGCTTTCTGAGCTTTGTGCACAACTTCACTATTTCCTGAATTAAGCACAGCTCTTTTATTTCCTGTCTTACATCATTGGACAAACTGATTAATCCAGGTGTGTCTGACTATTGGCACGCTGGCTTGCGGACCAAGGTTGAAAAATACTGCATTAAATTGCACATAAAATAACACGACCATAAATGGTAAATAGGCAATGCAAGAGGCAAGTAACAAAAACATTTTGTTTAGTTTCAACATTTGAGTGAACACCAAAAATTATGAGCAGGTCACTGTTACAGTAATGGTAGTAAACACTACTTAGACAAAATGCCAGAAATTTACACTAATATTTCTGGAGTGTTGTGCCAAGGTCAACTTTATACAAAGATCAAGTGGATGCATGTGTGTGTGTGTGTGATACCTCATTTGTACAGAAATTTTGCCCTTCTGTCCTTCTGAGTGGCAAAGCTCTCGATTAGCTTTTTATTGAAGTCAGGAATGTTTGTGACAAGCTTTTTTTTCCATGGAGAGCATGGCAAGAGCATTCAGCCCATCCTGTGTCATGGTGTTCCTCAAGGAAAGTCTTAATCCTCTTTAAAGTAGAAAAGCACCTTTCTGATTCGGCTGTGGTCATGGGTGTGGTGACAAGAACCTTCTTTTGCATGGCTCAGGATGGTGTGAAAAACCTGTCATATGATAAATAAAAAACAACAGATAAGTACATAGGAAACACTTTTATAGGAAATAATGTCATCAGTATCCTCTTACAAATGTCATATTTCCCAGTTTTTGGGACAATAAAACATTTCAGATTCTCAATCAGATGTTTTTACATTTGAGGTAAAAACATCTGATTGAGAATCAGAAATGTTTAATTGTCCCAAAAGCTGGGAAATTTGTTTGCTGCAGCAGAAGTGTAACGGGTAAAATGGAATCAGATTGATGTATGTACAAATTTACATGAAATACACATTTACGTGATTAAATATGTATAATAAGTATGTGTGTTGAAATTAGTTTTTACAGTTATTGCACATTAAACATGTTATTAAACAAATGTCCCGGTTTGTGGGACAACCAAGGATTTCTGATTCTGATTGTCTTGTTCACAGAAATGTAATGTACAGCTTACCTCTGCACCCAGCTGCTGTTGTTCCCTGCTTGGCAACGTTAGCTCTGCTGCCTAGCATGGCTAGCTTCACCGTGTTGTTGTCCATGTGTGCCCGGGATGACTCGTGTTTCTTCACCTTCTCAGAAAAATGTTTCATGTCTGTAACTCCTGACTCATCCATGCCTTATCTGTCCCAGCCGTTTTGAATAACAAACACAGAAAGCAAAATAACGCATTAGCGTGATTGCATCCAGCTAGCCACTGCTTCCTGGTGTACCAATTTTGGGAGAAGCGTCGTGTGTTTACCTCTCTCCTTCTCCTGCTGGCTTATCTTTACGTCGGGCTGATCTGGTCCAAGCTCTTTGACATTAAGTTTTTCCACCATAGTTCTCCTCTCGAACGGATGCTGGAGAAGAGACCGAACTGAATTCAGTGGCTGCTGAGATCCGGTATCCATGCTGGTTGTAGTCACCGGTGGCGTCCATGTTACATCTGCGTCACGACCAAAAACGACTCTGCCGAGTTCTACCGAACACCAACGAATCCTTTGGCGGTAGCTCCATCGCCCATCATGCTTCTGAAACGTTCTGAAACAACGTCGACGCTGATTGGATACATTCCCATTCCTGCCCTTTGATATTCTTGTCAGCAATTGGACAGCTGGTCTCGTCCTGTTTGGGCGATTGAAAAACAGCACACAGCCTCCACCGCTCGGCAGAGCTCGGCAGAGGCTCGGCAGAGACCGGCAGAGACCAATATAGATATATATATATGATTTATTTTTGTTACAAAACACACAATTAACTTAGAATATGTGATTATTGTTAATTTTATTTATTTATTTTTTAAAATAAATATTAAAAACATGGAAAAACTGGGAGGGCGGCGCCCTATCGCCCTCTACTGGCCAGCCGCCACTGCTTGGCACAGAAGGACCTTGAGAAGGGAACGGTTTGTTGACAACATGTTATCACGTGTTCCGAGCTGCAGAGAGGCCCGGACTCCAGCTGATGGAATGGCAGGATCCGGCAGATTAAAGGCAACACATGTAGACTCCTGTCTCCATATTCTCAGATACTGAAGGTGTCAAACTGTACATGAAACACTGACCATTTATGGACATTACAGTACCAAATCCACCATCTCTAAATCTGACAGCTTTTCTTTAACTATTGACAGTGCCACAGTCTCCCCCTCCCCTCAGGTTAAGAGTCTAGGTGTCATCCTCAACAGCTCACTTTCTTTTCATGCTCACATCAATGACATAATTCGGTCAGCCTATTTCCATCTTCGATCCATAAACCGTCTCCATTACCCATCACACTGCCGCCATTCTTGTCCACAGTCTCGTCACCTCCCGTCTCGATTACTGCAATTCACTTCTTTTTGGTCTCCCTTACAAACTCCTTCATGAACTTTAACCGGTCCAAAACTCAGCAGCCCATATCATCACCAGAACCCCTTCCTTTCACCACATCGCCCCGGTTCTCCAGCAGCTTCACTGGCTTCCAGTTAAATTCAGGTCCATCTTCAAGATTCTCCTCCATACCTTCAAAGCCATCCACAATCTCTCTCCTCCATGTATTTCAGACCTTTTAAGTATTACCACCCGTCCCTTTCCCTCAAATCGTCTTCCTCCCTCCATCTTGCTGTTCCTCCTGGCCGTCTCACTACCACGGGGAGCAGAGCTTTCAGCCGCTCTGCTCCCAGTCTCTGGAGCTCACTCCCCCCAGACATCAGAAATATTGACAGTTTCACCCTCTTCAAATCCAGACTCAAGACACACCTGTTCAAATCTGCCTATGACCTCTGATTTTATTTGCATTGTTTCTTTTTTCTATGTTCTTTTCTTCATTGTGTTTAATTGATGTTTTAATGTATTTTTCCTGTCAAACGAATGGGAAAGCCAGAATGTTTTCACTTTTACCAACTACTTGAGAAAATAAATATATGTTAATTATGCTTAATTATGACAAGGCTTTGATAACCTTCCAACAGAACATGTATTTATGTCAGAGCAGCCCAACATAAATAGACAGTATTAAACCCTGAATGTAAAATTAGCTTTATTTGCTACAAGCGTATTTATTGAAATGACACCGAAACGTCTGACTCCAGTTTGGATCAGATTTATGGGCAGGAAAGCAGATCTAAGGAGGTATAGTGACAGTTGTGTCTGTACACTCTTCTGTGGTTTATGTTTGAACATCCAAGGAAAAGATCCACCAGAGTTCCACTTTTACAGATCCCAGCTCCAAATGTAAACTCTGACACTCACCACCAGAGGGAGGCAAAGCTCACTTAACCCTGGATATGAGAACATCTGAGTTCTGGACTCCCGATGACCCCTAGAGCATCCTTACCCTGAACAAACAGACTGGTGATCAGCATCAGCAAACACAGCCCTAGTTGTTGTCGGTTTCTCCCTCCACTGTTGTAAATATGCCTGCATCAGTTAAATATTTAAGAGTAAGAGGACAGAAATGGAGTCAGTCGGTGACATCAAAGTGTCTAATAAACACTGGAGCAAGTTGTTTACATGGGATGGTGGCAAGGCCCTGGGGGAGGTGTGTCCTGGTTCTGACTCCGCTTAGTGAGAGAAAACAACACGTCTGGCATTTACCACGCGTCGAGAGGAAAACAACCCCTGGAGGCTCCGGGCGGGAACCCCAGATCTGTGCGGCCGGTTAACAGGAATCCCAGCGAGCTCCAGCTGTTTTCTGGATCTAGTTGGTTCTTCTGATGCTGAACAAGGAGCCGCTTGATTCCTTGTTAGTGGAAACCCAAAGGTGCTGCATTCAACAGCTGGTTAGATGCATAACTCTTGTTTTTGTGTAAATAAACATGTAAGGCTGCTTTTGGAGACCAGGTATTTATTTATGCACTCTCACCTTGATAAATCATTTAATAGTGATGCGGTTTTTACTTTTCCAGATCTCATTTCCTATGCAGCTGTTTGATCTGTTCGGTGTCAGAATACTTACTTTCTGTGGGTTTGGCATTAAGCTATTTTACATTTTAACACCAAGTATCAATGAAGCCCTGCAGCGTGTAGCTGCTCAACCTTCTGCCTCAAGGGAGGGAGAAAAGCTTAGGACAGTGGCTCCCCTTTCCTGCGTCCAAGACAAGCCAGGGCCCCCCGACCTGCATGTGCACAATTTAAATGGAATAAATGCAAACTTTATAGTTTTTATATGGAGTTTTAGATGCACTATTGAGTGAATCACCTGAATTTTTTCAAACGTAATCTAGAAGCAACCTAAAACATCTTCAAACTCAAAATTGTGGGGACCCCCATGAGGGGTCACAGACCCCAGGTCGGGGGCTCAGCAGCACCTCAGCCAATGTCTGATTTTGACACCAAATGGAGGAAATAAAAAATGAACTCTAGGACCTAAACTGGTCTGATCAGACTAGTAGGTGGGACCGATGTGGCCAAGCTCAGCAAAAACCCATCGGTCGTTATGAGCCTTTTCCTCACACGACCAACGTTTAAGGCCAGATGACAAGGCGCTGGGGGGGGGGGGGGGGGGGGGGGGGTTTGAGTTTCTATGAGCGGGTCTAGTTTATCCTGGAGGAAATTATAGAAGTTTTATTTATGCAAATAAAAATAAACTGTAGGGAGTAACTTAATAATCTAACATGCTATATAAAGATGTCAGTCTGAAAGCACCACAGTGACACCTAGTGGAGGAAAACTGAAACACACACAAGCAGCTTTCAGATGCTTTTATAGAAGTCATTTAGCAGCATTTAAAAAAACAACACTTGGGACGTAAAACAGCCATTTGTGATCAAGTTAAATAAATCCACATTAGAGCTTTTGAAGCCTGGCTGGTTCACCTGTCCTTTGAGGTAGCCAAGCTACTGGTCCCAGAACCAAACACCATCTGGTTTCAGCCAGAGGAGAACCAGAAAGAACATTTCCCATCATGCAAAGCCCATTTTTAGCAGCACATAGGGTCATGTAGGACCCTAGAAAGGGTTACTGGGCAAATGACTGAATAAAAAAAATTAATTAAATCACAATAAAAAAATCAAACACCCAAAATCAAGTAATGAATCTGGAAAACGTTCTCTCAATTAGCCGTCTGCATAGAAGATAAAAAGAGTGGTCGGCAATTGATGCAAACATCTGGGAGCACCGCAGTTAAAAACATTTGTGTAGAGATCTGATGAGTCCATGGCAGGTCTGCACATGCAGAAGGCAACGCTTGAAGGGAGGAGGGGAAAACCGTCCCAGTTTCATCAGTCGGTGGGATCAACAGAAGCTACGGCCGTGACCTGGGCAGGGTCTACTCCAGCAGGTGGTGTTGGAGGGAAGGTAAACTCATCCTAGGTCTCATCTTCGGAACCGCAGCTTCCACACGGACCGCTTCCTCAGCTTTCTCGCTGCTCAGAGGAGGAGTCAGGACACCGGAGGGAACTGGACAGCTGCTGTGGTGCTCCAGGTCCGTATTCTGGTAGGAGTGGGCCTTGTCCTACACACACACACACACACACACACACACACACACCTGCCCTGTCACCCACCATACACCCAGACTTTAACTTACTGTACTTTATTGATCTTACCAGCCATGTTAGAAAGGGGGCGTGGCTTTGGATGTTGTGCGTGTCCTCGGGAGGGATTCCCAGGAACGCTTTCATTCTTGAGTCTCCGGCCTCTCGCAGCACCATGGCAAATGGCACCATCCACCTGACACACTCCTCCACCTCCACCCTTTTCAGAGCTGCAGGAAGGAAGTCCCGTCAATGATCGACAGACAGAGACGCTCAGACTGCTCAGCAGGCAACAGAAACTAAAGTTCAAGTCCAATAGTCATTGTAGAACTTTCCGGTGGGTGTGTGTGACACACACACACACACACACCAGGACTGGTACGCCTTCCCAGTGACTAGCTACATTATACGTGTTGCTAAGTAATACAGGTGGAGTATTAAGCATGTGTTTGTGTTTGATTGCAGGTTTCCAAACCAACCTAATCCAACCTGCCCCTAACAACGCAGCCATCGGGATAGCGAGGCTAACCTGGTCGCTGTATGTTTATGTTTATGTTTATTCGTTTAGCGGATGCTTTTATCCAAAGCCTATAGGGCACGTTGTGATCTGTGGGGGAAACCGGAGTACCCGGAGGAAACCCACGCATGCATGGGGAGAACACGCAACTCCACGCAGAAAGGCCGCAGCCGAGTTTCGAACCTGCAACCTTCGCGCTGCGAGGCAACAGTGCTAACAACTGCGCCACCATGCAGCTGTAGCCAAGCCGTCGTGTTCTTTAATTGTTATTTTGTTTTCAAGTGTCATAAAAAGTTAAAACCGTGTCCCAGTTGTGTCCACCATACTTGTCCTGAAGCCTCGTCCATGGGGGACCTTATGTCAGTGCGCCCCAGGGCAGCTGTGGCTAAATCGTAGCTCATCACCATCAGCGAGTCCTCTGACTCGGAAAGACGCTATACAAGTGCAGGTCACTGAGTGCGTTTACATGCAGCCAGTAACTCTTTTAAAACCCGAATATTCACAATAACCCGGTTCCGCAGGTCCATGTAAACACCGCCAAAAACCCGGATATGCTCATAACCGGGTTTTTAAAAACCCGGTTACTACACCTGGGGTAACCCTTTTCTAACCCGAATGTTTGGTCGTGTAAACACATATCGGGATTTCCCCATCAAAGCGTGTGTTCTGCACATGCTCTGTTCGCAAGGAATCTTGGTCTTTTGAGTAGCGAGACGTCTTGTACGCGCCAGAACTCCGGAAGTAAACAACAAGTTGGGAGCAACATGGCGAGTCGCGGCACAGCACCACACTTTTGGAGTGACGAGGAAACTAAAGCGCAAACAAACGCGGTCGCTATCTCTTCCCAACTGGGAAACATGTTGTTGTTTTCACGGATACCGGAACGAGAAGAACCGGAAATGAGGCATATTGCATCTGGACGTAGTCCACACGTCCTGACGCTACCCCAACATCCGCATTTAAATCGGGTTATGCAAGTTAGAGGTAACTCTTTCTATTTGTGCTTGTAAACGGGTTATTCTGATCAATACCTGATCTTATACCGACCTTAACCCGAATATTGGCTGCATGTAAACGTAGTCGCTTATCATTATCAAGCCGTTGCAAGTAGCTTATCAAAAAACTGGACAGTCATCACACACTGGTGAAATTCATCTCCGCATCTGCGCCACCCCGTGGGGAGTGGCGAGCTGCAGCTGTTGCTGCGCTCTGGACACCATGTCAGTTAACCCCAGTTATCAAAAGGACCACAAGTGGCTCCGCTAGTTCACGCGCTAACAAGCAAAGTGTGTCTTGTAAAAAGGGCTTCTGCTGCGGGACGTCGGTGTAGTCGTCCTGGACTCGATCATCCTGAGCGTTTTCGTTAACAGCTGGACTTTTCTCTCGTCCTACAGGAGTTTTCAGTTCCCCCACTGATTGTGCTGCAAGTCCTTTCCTTTCTCTTTCTCTCTTTCTTAAAGGCATATTTTGTCTAAATGATGTTACTGTTCACAGGAAAATGGCACGTTAACGTTTAGGTTATTTCAGGGATGTAAGACCTGTGGTTAGCTGGCTCTTTTCAAACATGAAGGTTTCGGACCGTCTAATCCTGGGACTGTGGCACAACTCCCACCGTGAGAGGCACCGGTTCTGTTCAGTTTTGTGGGCCGACCATCACTGAAATCACCAAAACCAACATGCAGATGAGGAACTTCTGGTTTTTACCTGAAACGTTTTCCACCAACTCCAGAGAGGAAAAGTGGAAAAGTGCTGAAGCGGCAAGAACACCGTTGGAAAACTCGAGGCACCTCACATCCAACAAGCACAGGTCCAGCAGCTACAGGAGGACACAGACCGATGAGAGCGGCTCTTTCAGAACCTAGAGGAGATAAGCCCCTCCCCCAGATGCAGCAGGTAAACAACCACCTGTAGAGTTTACCTGGGTCTGAATTGTTTTGATCCATCCCTGAGCTTACTCACCAGAACATCCACGCCTTACGATAAAGAAAATCCCAAAAAGTCACCTGGTCTGACCTCCAGTGCGGCTATTCCGCAAGTAGAGGGGGGGGGCCTAAAAGACTCTCCAGCCTACCTGTGCGATCTGTGTGAAGGTCTGCTGGGGGTAGGTGGGAATCAGCAGCTTCTCCGAGTCGGTCAGGTAGGCCACCTGCATGTAAACGTTGAGCCAGGAGATGGGAGTCTGTGGACTGAGACTCCACTTCAGCTCCTGGGTTAAGGTGGAAGAGACAAACTCAAACACCTTAAAATGTAGATTTGACTCTAGACGTTGATTTCTGTTTGTGGTTTTAGGGGGACAACAACCGTCTCAAGCTCTGCACCTTCATAACGATGATCTCCATACTGAGAATGTCGTCCTCTGTACAGGCTTCATCTGTGACGTAGGCAAACTGGTGGACTTTAGGAGGGTACATCTCCTACGGAGAGCAAAAGCATCAGAGATGAGCTCCGCACCAACAAATAACACCATAATGTAACGAATGTCTGCAGGAGGAACTCTGACCTCCACTTTGGCTGCAATGAAAAGACAAGTGATGCCGATGAGCTGTAGTGTGGACTTGAAGACATTTCTCTGAGTGGCCATGAAGCGGTCAAAGTAGTCCTGAGCGAGATGATACGTCTCCCTGTGGAGTTTATACACCTCACTCACCTGAAGACGGACCAGGGTTAAGCAGGAATCAGAAACAGGAAGTTCAGATTAATCAGAGCTGAGCTTTGGTCTCCCTTCCTCATATTTTGAGTATCTCATCTCTGACTTGACGACGGCAACGTGACTCTACCACTGACTCTGTTTACGTTTTACCCCCACAATAACACCAACCTGAGGGAGTTCCATGTGGTGGAGTCACTAATGCTAACAGCTAGCTTCTATTAGCCAAGACGTTCTCTGCCGTTTCCTGGACGCTAAACCAACAGCCTTCCCCGTCACAAGTCATGACGGGTGAGTCCATGAATGTTAAGAGACAGGATGACCGAGATCTGTCAGGTGTTTCTAATCGTCTGTTTTCGGTCAGAAGCTACTGCAGGAGACAGGTGTAGGAGACTATTTTCATGCTCAGCCTGCATGAAAAACTCAGAGTGACTGATCATAATCAGAAATAATTCTGCGAGTCGAGCCCAATTCCACAGCTGACAGAGCCGCACACACAGCGCGGCTAGAGTCGATGATACTGGCACCGTAGGTGAGGGACAGAGACGGAGACTCCTCCCACATCGGAGCAGGTTCAGGCTGGTTTCTAAAGCTTGGTTTATGCTTGCTTTATCAGCGCGAGTGCGGAGTCGCGCACTTTAGTTGACTTGCAAGTTCAACTTGTCTTTTAAAAATGGTTCGAATGCTTCTGATGGAGATCAAACAAGCTAACGTGTCAGAAAGCGTGCGTCTCTCTGATGGAGCTGACCGCAGCATCAAGTAGGCTTTTTAGTTTTAGTCAGGAAAAGCGTGCAGCCAGCCTGCCTTGGTGAAGCAGGGAAAACGGTGTGCTTGATTTGTTATTTAATACATTTGAAAACTACTTCTACCTTCAGATTTCCTCCTTGCATTTTTGGAGTAGAACAAGAACATGTTTCTTATGAAGCACCTCCAGGGTTTCCCCCAGCGCTTTATAAGCCTGGCGACCTGCCAGGCTTTGCTTGGCCACCCGCCAGGCTACGCGTCATGCCCCGCCCCCCTCCCCAACCCTAATGTGTCCGCTGACACGAACGGCGCAACAAAACTAGAGCCCTCCATCAGCTGATACTGGTGAGAAACAGCCACGTGGAAAACAGACAATCACATAATTGAATAAACCCGGATTTCGGCGCTAAGCCTGGAATTCACTTATATCAGCGAGCAGAAAAGTTGCTGCAGGCCCCCAGACCCGGTCCATCTGTCTGGTTCCTGTGAACTTAACTGAACTCCAAACATTAACATCTCTGACATTATCCCCTCTCCTTTTGTAGTTCTTAAACATCACCTAAAACACAGTGAATACATTTACATGCAGCCAATATCCGGGTTATGATCGGGTTAAGGTCGGTATAAGATCAGGTATTGATCAGGATAACCCGTTTACAAGCACAAATAGAAAGAGTTACCCCTAACTTGCATAACCCGATGTAAATGCGGACGTTGGGGTAGCGTCAGGACGTGTGGACTACGTCCAGATGCAATATGCGTCATTTCCGGTTCTTCTCGTTCCGGTATCCGTGAAAACAACAACATGTTTCCCAGTTCGGAAGAGATAGCGACCGCATTTGTTTGCGCTTTAGTTTCCTCGTCACTCCAAAAGTGTGGTGCTGTGCCGCGACTCGCCATTTTGCTCCCAACTTGTTGTTTACTTCCGGTGTTCTGGCGCATACAAGACGTCTCGCTACTCAAAAGACCAAGACTCCTTGCGAACAGAGCATGCACAGAACACACGCTTTGATGGGGATATCCCGATACGCGTTTACGCGACCAAACATTCGGGTTAGAAAAGGGTTACCCCAGGTGTATATCCGGGTTTTTAAGAACCCGGGCCGGTTATGAGCATATCCGGGTTTTTGGCGGTGTTTACATGGCCGTAAGGAACCAGGTTATTGTGAATATTCGGGTTTTAAAAGGGTTACTGGCTGCATGTAAACGCACTGAGTAAAAACCTAAATGGGTCAATCTTTCGTAAACATGGCCTATCATTCCATCTGTATGCCGACGATTGCCAGATTTACTCTCCACTGTGTCAGGAGAAAGGTCACTCTATTCAGTCCTTTGTCTCCTGTGTTAATGAGGTGAAGTCTTGGCTAATGGCCAACGTTCTGCATCTGAATGAGGGAAAGACAGAGCTCATTGTTTTTCACCCCAACAGCAGGAATGTGGATCGTTATGTTGATCTTGGCCCTCTTTCTCCATACTCAAAACCAGTTGTTACCAGTTTGGGGGTGAAACTTGATGCTGGACTTAAATTTGAGGCTCACATCAATTCTGTGATCCGGTCCAGTTTCTTTCACCTGAGACGCCTTGCTAAAATCAAGCCTATGCTGTCGAGAGCCCACCTGGAGCGGGTACTGCATGCTTTTGTAATTTCTAGACTTGATTACTGCAGCTCTCTCTATGCAGGGTTGTGTCAGTCATCACTGCATCGCCTAAAGGTTGTGCAGAACAGCGCAGCCAGGTTCCTGACTGGGACCTGGAAATGGGACCACATCAGTCCAGTTCTGGCCTCCCTGCACTGGCTTCCGGTTTACTATCGTTCACAACTCAGACTCCTCGTCTTTGTTTACAATTTCTTCCAGGGTGGTGCTCCCCCCTATCTGGCCACGCTCCTGAATAGACATTCCCCATCACGCGCTCTGCGCTCCTCTGACCAAGGCCTGCTCGCTGTCCCTCGGTCTAGGTGTCGTACCCGTGGGGACCGGGCTTTCTCAGTCCTAGCACCGTCTATCTGGAACCAGTTGCCACCCTCAGTCAGGCTGTCCCCATCTCTGCCAGTCTTTAAGAATCACCTAAAAACACACCTCCTCCGCTTGGCGTTTCCAGAACATGTTTGATTTTGGCCCTCTTTTATGTTGAATTTATTTCAGTTTTCATTGGGTCACTCTATCCCTTGTTTTACACATCTGTCCTGTACCAGAATGTTTCACCTTTTTTGTAATTTGAATTGCTTTTATTTTTGATTTATTCCGTGTATTTTACCTTCAACTGTACCATGTTGAGCGCCTTGGGCTTTATAAATAAAGCTTTGAATGATTGATTGATTAAATCTGCACATAAACAATCATATACTTTTGTTCTTCTATGAAAGATAAGTAAAGTCTTATAGTTAAATAACAGTCATATCAGCTCTGACTTGTTGATTTATTATTAGTTTACTTTATAATTATTAAATACTTGTTGTAAACGTTGGTAAATCGGGTTAGAAGGAAAAGTGGGACTCAGTAGAAAAGCAGAATCTGGGAGAACAAACAGATTTCTGTCTACTGGAGGTTTTAAAACAAGCGTCAGACACAGAACCGAGTCCGTTCAGGGCTCCTTGGGGCCCGACCATCTGCTGCAACACTCTTACTCCAGCTGAAAGTCTGGAGTAGTCTTCACGCTGCCTCTGAATCTGAGGTCAGGGGTCAGACCCGTCCCTCATTCAAACATACCTCGAGTAAGAAACTCCACATCAAAATATTCCCCGCACCATTCTTCACATTCACCTTATTCAGAGTCAGCATGAAGCGAAAAGTGGCCCGTGGTCACAGTCTCTGGATCCTTATTGTCCTGGGCCCACGTTGGTCTGATTAAAGCCGTACCTGTGTGTGTTCACACACACCCGGTCCAATCTACTAATTTTATATTTGACACAACAAAAATATTAGGACTGTCATTTGTTCTTTTATACCGTGTTATTGTGACTTAACTATAATATTTTT